CCCCAAAACCCCCAAAACCCCAAAACCCCAAAACCCCAATATGATTAAAATATATTGAATTATTGAGAAAGTTTTATGATGTCAACAAAGAGGTACTGTTTGAAAATGTGCGAAAGAGATTAAACTTTTATTTTAGAACAAATCTATTATCGTATGGTTTAACCAGGAACCAGAAAAGCTCATTTATCAATTACAGAACAGAAAACTCTTTTGCACGGACAAAATATGATGAATCTTTAAGCAATTCATCACAAATGGAAAGCTCCTCTTTATTTTCAGCCAAGAAACTTAGCTTCAAAAATCCAGGCTCATCTCCCAGAACTCTATTATCAAAATAACTCCAAAAGAAATCCCACACAAAAATTAGATTTCAATAGATCGACACTCCAAACGATCAGCCCAAAGGATACTATTTCTAATAGCAGAAATGCATTCTTGCTCAAATCTAGGTAAAATATCGAAATTGTTCCCAAAAACTGTATCAACTATCCTTTTCTTAAGAATCTAATCCTCTTTATAGCTTCAAGAGTTATTCCACACATGGAGAATATCTTGTAAAGTCTTTTAGGAAAGCAACTAGTTCAGTTGAACTAGTTGCTCCAAAAGCAGCTTACAATATTCCTGACTCAATAATAAAATCCAGGAATATTAACCTCCTGGAGAAGTCCCGGACTTCTCATCGGAAACCACATATTACTGAGGAGACCCTCAGTGAGATGTGAGAGGTCCAGAAGGAATCCAAGATCCAGGTTCCAGTGAGGTTTAGATCCAGGGAATCTCTTATGAAATTCGGAGACCGTAAACCTTGTAATATAACTCAGAATTGTATTGAGAATCCTAAACCTAAGCTTCTACAAGAGCACAAACCTAGTCAGGAGCTGGCTAAATTTCCACAAACACCGGTCAAGCCTTCTGAGAAGCCTAAGAAGCAGTCTACAATGTTAGACGCAGAGAGTGTTCTCAGATTACTTAGGCGCTCGATAAGTAAAGAACTTGAGGAATCTCCTGATAAACTGCCTAGAAAGACTCCTGAGGAGCTTTCTAGGAACAACATCAGTACTCAGTATGATCCTCCAGTGGAGTTTACTCCAACGAGTAAGAATTCTGAGGAAGATTTGGGAGATGCCCAGTTGAACTCACTGAACTTCAGTGAGTTTACTGACAGTCAGCTTAGCCTACCACACAAAGGTAATTGTAATAGCCAAATCATTCGATTTTTTGTGTGAAGATCTGAATTAAACTAAATTTTTCAAATTTCTTTCAGAAATAAAGAATTCAACATTTTGGACGGAAGAGACTTAATTTCATCAATGTTAGCAGCAAGACATAATAGAATATAGTGCAGATTTTAACCTTACTTTAGAGCCTGAAATAGCTGAAGTCGAAACCTTAGCCAAGAAATTTGTGAACACAAAAGAAATGGGGGTAAATACAAGTGTTTTTGAGCAAAAAAATGCCCAAACTCAGTCATGTACAACATGCAATTGAGCATCCAGTAGCCAGAAATTATCAATACTAGCAGTTAAAATTTCTGAGCTTGAAACTAAACTAAATCAAGCAAATGAGAAGATATCTGATCTGACAAATGAACTTAATGAAGAAAAGGTTAAGAATAGTAAGATCAGTTCTTCAACCATGAATGATGATACTAATAAACGAGGGTTTGGGAGCTTTGAAAAATTAAAAATCGAGCCTATCCGGGCACCAATCCATAATTTCAAAAGAAATCGATCTAGCGAAGTTAGTTTTAGAAATAGGCTTAGCAAACAAGCCATTGAAACATTAGAAGATGTAGAATTCAAAAAACTCGAAGAACAGGCGATGAGAGAAGCTAAAAAGAATTTAAATGGTATAAAGGACAATAAAAATGAAGTGCATCAGACACTCTTAGAGCTAAGGTTGCAAAGAAATATTTTATCTGCCTCACCAACAACTAAGGCTTCTTCTAAAAGACCTTCAAAATAATTTATTAGACACTATCCTTCTTAAATTTATTCAAATTCAGTGAATAGCAATTCACTCGGGGTTTTGGGGTTTTGGGGTTTTGGGGTTTTGGGG